ATTAAATCGGTCGGGGAGTGAAGCTGACCACTCACTTCCAACTAGTTCCGAGGTCAAGAAAATGTGGATCTATACATCAACTCCCCCATATGTCCTCATGTCCTAGTGCTTAATTATTTTATTAACTTTACCATATTTCGACGGAAAATAGGCCTCCAGATATGGAGGGTGGCTGCGAATATAAATTATCAATGGCCAATAAGAGAAAAACAGGTCATTTATAGCTTGAGGGCTGAGCGTAAAGCTGTTGACTTTCATTCCCTCTTTCTACCTCGCTGGCTGCAATAACGCCAGGAAGCATCAAATAAGAATTAAGGAACGTCTAATGAAGTGAACCGGCGATGTTTGACTGTGAGCTTCAAGGCTAGACGTTTGAAAGGAAGAGCCAATATTCTCAAAACTGTACACGGTGACTGCATTAAAATAACGTGTTGAAAGTAAGCTAGCTATTGTAGAACGAAATAGCTTGAAATCTTCTTTCACTTAGTCACTGAGTTTTGAGAGAGAATTACAATTTAATATTTTACAAGCTGGAATTTCTGCCTTACAGAAATGTTTGTGCGTAATTCGAAAACTATAAAGTTGTATTTTCCTGCTGATATCCCGCTTATGATAATCAAATTAACAGGTCTAATATGGAAGGAATTTGATTCCAACAGTGAAATATTTATGTGTTCAGTGTTTTTTATTGTGTGAAAAAATACTGAAGGATTGCTACGAAAACAATAGGCTGTAAGTTCCCTCAGGACTAATAAAGAGAGAACACTGAATAATGCTTACGAACTTTTGTCAGTAGTGAATTAAGTTTTGTGCTGAAATCAAGTAACAAGAGAAATAAACATGTTGAAGCTACATTTTGTTTGGATAGAAATTTTCATTGACATCTAATTCAGGCTGAATATTCTCTCGATTTCAAATTGTTTCACTATGTATTTACGTATATGTAATGCACAACCAAGCACCACTCTATATCGTGTAGTCTGGTTTCGAGAAGGACACCGTGTACCGAACATGGCTGTTAGGAAGCTGTGGCTTATCATTCTTATCAAGTTCGAATTTAAATATGGCGACTAACTATCCTGACGAGGTTATTCGTAATGTTTTTAAAATCTGTCCACTCCAGTGCTGGGCTAGTATATTAGAAACTTTTGGCTTGTAACCCAAGTATCCCGAATTTAATTTTATTTTCTTAGGTCTTGTCATGGAATCTATAAACGTCCGAGGTCGTTATGACCATTTGTAACTTTGCGCGACGGTGGTTCATAGTCTCATATTCAACCAATAAATTGGAGTACTACTCCTTGTCGGATATCCGCGGCAGCAACCCTTTCTCCTTATCTTGACCATATCCATCAGTAGCCTGAAGACAGGCTCTATTTCAGTGACAAGAAACAAACGCATCATAGTGGTTCACTTCTTGAAGCCGTACTGCAAAGATGACATTACTTTAGCTTTCGGTCTAGTAAGAGCTGAAAATTAATTTAGACGGTTATCACAACGTAATATCATCTATTTCAGTCTGTTGACAAATCTGAACTTGTCACATCGAAATATGAATTTAGAGTGACCATAATGTATTATCAAACGATAGTGTTCACGCATGTGTTTGCCTGTAGCTGAACTGTGTTGTCAAACGATTTAATGTCCCAGAATAATGGAATAATTAATGCGACAAGCTAATTTAAGTGCTGAGTATTTTAGTAGAACCATAACTTGTGTTGTCATGATAAATGGCCAGCATCTCGCGTCTAAAGAATAACATCCAGGTAGGTCAGGACTCCTGTTGTATACTAATGAACACGAGAAGCTAACGTGACTCGTACGATGAGTAAGACATTTGATGTTCCTGACTTAAAAATTCATCGCGGACTTTCCATAGCCGATTATATTTCATACAGACTGACTGACTGACCGACTCACCAACTAGCTAACCAATCAACTGACTGACTATCTAATTAACTAACCAGCCGACGAACAAACTAATAAATACAAACTAACTAACAAGCTAATAAACAAAAACCAACAACTAACTAGTCGACTAATCAACCACCAACCAGCCAAAGAACCAACTAACTGACTAACTAACTGGACGACTGACCAACCAGTGAGCTACATAATTAGCCAAACAATTTACTCTTTTGTAACAAACCGAAGGTTCAATACTACTAAAGCACTGCACGGGACTGGGCACTGACTTAAGCGTTAAGTTCACTTCCCATCCTCATGACAAATTTCCCTATGGTCAATCTTAATATTATCCTATTATCTTATTCTCGGTCTTCAAAGTATCTGATTTCGAAGCAGTTTCCCCGCTATAATTCCGTATGCATTTTTTTCTCCCTTATCTGAGCTAAGTTTCCGGGGCTCCGTAAATTCCTGAAGTTCACGACATTCGACATGCCCCAGGCGAACTGCAGAAATTTCAGTATTCCTAGTTATAAAATATCATAAACTTTCCCCTCAGTTTCGTATAATTTCCTGAGCAATTTGTTTCAGACTTGACTCATTAATGTTGTTCCCTCAGATCAAGAGATCAAGTTTCGCACTCATGCAAGATAACATGCTGAATTATTTTGCGTGTAATGTCGTTAGTGTTTTGGAAAGCATGAAGCATGAATGAACGAATAGTTTTCTCCAGGTTTTTATGACGGACAGGTCACTGATGGATTTTCTGATTTTTAAGTTAAATGATTTAATAGTTACACTGAGGATCGCATAAACTTGAATCGGAAATCTGAAACGTAGCATCTTGGGTGTAGCTTCTCATGACGACACATATGTGACGTCATGCGTCCATGTTCATGACTACAGAGATTATTGTGCAATAACTCAATGGGCAACACGAAAAGCCTCTTATTTATTCATCTCTTTATTTAAAAATAAGGAGCCGGGGTAGCGCAGTTGATATAGCGAGTGGCTGCGGGCTGGACGACTGCGGGGTCGGAGTTCGAGTCCCGTAGAATGAAGAATTTTCTGTTCTCTGAATCGTCCAGACCATCTCTGGGGCCCACCCAACCTCCTACCCAATGAGTAACGAGGGGATCTTTCCCCGGGGGTAAAGCGGCAGGGCGTGAAGCTGACCACTCATCTCTACCTAGTGCCGAGGTCAAGAAAATGTGGATCTATACACCCAATCTCCCATAAACCTCCATGGTATAGTGATTATTTAGTTAAGCACAGGGGCAACTTACTTTACTTTACGACGAAGAAAAATTGCGTACAGAATTTCGACGACGAAGCCTCTGGAAGAGCGTCCCTGGAATACCGAGAAGAAGACGAGAGAGAGCAATGTTATTCTTTGTGCGTTAATTTAGGATGCCGTGAGTATCTCAGACTATGTAGCGTCCAATGGTAGGACGTTTAGTGTAAAATGATTTGGAAGGAAGCTGTCATGACGTAATAGAGGTACCATCCTGACGTTTGCTTCAAGGGACTTAGGAAAACCACGAAATATCTCAATGATAATAGCTGGTATCCCGGCTGAGGTTCGAACCGAGCACCTTCCAAATACAAGTCCAGACAGTTACCGCTAGATCATCCTGATCGACGAGAGTAATATTTAAATGGAGCTTAGAGAGATAGATTCTGTGGATGGAAGACAGATGTGATTGGCTTCAAATCGGCTCCGATACTGAAGGTGCTGAACCTTCGGTTCTGCTGCCAGAGAATTACTCGTAGTTCATTTACTTCTAGTCTGTCCCAACTGCAGTAATAGTGTTTCATTGCTTATTTCGGTGGCCAAGCGGTACTGGGTGGGGGTGCGCGGTAGTTGGCTGAAGCTCTAAGCTACAAAGAGGTAGGTTGCGGGTTCGATTCCCGATGAGGTCATCGGATTCTTCAGTTGATATAAACGTTCCAGCCCCTAACAGAAATGAATACCAGGAATCTTCATGGGACAAAAGGGCGGTTCGCGCGTAAGGCTGACAACCTCACCGCCATCTGTGAGCCGATTGTCTAGAAAATATGAGAGCCTCGACGTCTCACAATCCTATGGGCCTCCACGGTCTGTTACAGGGATAGCTTTACCTTTTTACGCGGTACTAGATGCGGGTTCTAACAGTGTCTTGGGCTATGGAAACTATTGCTCATGTTCTGCGAAAATGAATCGGTTCTTATCTAAATATCAAGGGTTTAGGATTTAGTAAACCTGTACGACTAGACCAAGGTCAAGCTCTGTCGCCGAAGAAGGGTGGAGGTGATTATAAAAGGAAAAAAAAACTTTGATGACGAGGGAGAGAGGCCAATTGTTTTGTTTTCATCAGAATCGTCTATTTTATGTTCCTGACTTCAGTAAACGGCACTTTATCAACTGCATGTTGTGTATCGCTCCGAATGACAGGTGTATTTTGAATGGTGTAATGTGACGGACATAGAACCGGCCGTTGTCCATTTTAAGATACTAACCAAAACCACATCTTTCCGAATTCATTTACGATCCTCATACAGCTTGATATACAGAGTCTTTGTAGTGATAAGGTGAATACATCACAGAAGCATACAGCGAGAGTAGGCGTAAAGATCCAGACATTCTCAACTTTGACGCTATGTGGAAATGCTCGGTGCTCATTTACAGTCTTGGTCTAGCTACTGACTGTCCTAAGATTTTGATGGTTTTCTTCCCACCGAATTCAGTGAAACTGTCCTTAAAGGAGCCACTGCAGTTGCTTTCAAATTGTTGTCTATTGATCATTCATGAACGTGTCACTAAGTAATCAGGAATAAATAATTGGTTTCATCGGACACAACGCTATGCGGACACCAGGTTACGCTTGGATGTAGTAGTGAAGGAAATAATTTTTCTGTGCCTGAAATCGAACTCCGATCGTCCAGCCCGTATTTAGCTATACTCACATGCAGATGACATAGCCACTACATCATGCCGCTCGGTCGGCCACAGAAGCAGAGTGAAGAAGGCCGCTGGAATATCTTCAGCGACAGCGTTACAACACTGCTCCAGTGGACAGCGAGGTGTCTTCTGTGCTACGAGTCTAGTCAGTTTCTTCTGCGAGAGAGAGCAACACTTCCCGCGCAGCTCGCCTCAGTCTCCGGCCAGCAGACCAAGTTGGATATCGGTTGTCGCATGTGTGAATTGACCGAGTGCTGCAGCAGTCTGTGAGGTAGCCAAAAGAAGCGCTTACATCATTTCGAAGAAACTATTACAGAACAAGTGCTCAAGTTTGTGACTGTGTGTTTCTGTATCAGATATTGTCGGTTTTAATCTGAAATATCGGGACTCTTTTATCATCATTAGGTAAGCAGTGATTCTCTTATTTAATTGCCATATTTGCAAGAATTTAATGCTCCTCCTAATGTTTAGAGTTTAAACTGAATATAAAATACTTTCGCATTGTGTTACAAAATTTGTAGTAACTTTACATAGTCGGCATAGCGACGGCATACGGGCTAGATGTCCCGAGTTCGATTCCCGGAAATGTAAGATCTTTTTCCTTTCCACATCGTCCAAACAGACTCTGGGGCTCCCAAGCCTTCTATCAAATGGGTACTGGGGGCTATTTCTCCTGCGGTAAAGCGGCAGAAGTGTGAAGCTGACCGCTCACCTCCATCTAGTGCCGAGGTCAAGAAAGGTGGAGCTATACCTCCACTCCCCCTTATGTCTTCATAGCATAGTGCTTAATTAATTAGTCACAGAGACAACTTTACTTTTTTCTTATTTTTAAATATTAACTATACGAATTACTATGTTGAGGGTTTTACTTGAAAATCTGACAGTTACTCAGTTAGTCAAGAAATTTCCTACTTTCATGGAACCAGAAGTTTCAGTACCGTTTTCAGGAAAGGTCACCATTAGTAACTATAGCAAACAACACACCTACGCATTAAGTGTAGAGCAGCCACTACCCACTGTTAATTAAAGTGTCTGCGCACTGTTGATATTCTCAGCTAGAGAGCAGACAGAACATCTGTTAACTTTTGGGTACATATTAAGTTACAGGACTTCAAGAAAATAACTTGTTTAAACAAATTGTGACCTGTTCAGTGTTAGCGCCCAGTAGCCAGAATTGAACGTGCGTTATTATCATGCTCAGTCAGATCTTCTGGAACCAAAAAGGTGCATTAAATTCTGGTACATACAGTATTAACAAAGCGTTAATTATCTGTTAATGAATGATATTAGTACGCTGAATGTCAAACAACACCTCCAGCAGTATATGCTTTTAGTACTATTTGAGAACTCTGTTGTTGCTGATACAATTATTAAGGAAATATACTAGTTTCATATGGGGCATGCTGTAGCGTAGGTGGTTGAAGCACTATGAGGTGGATTTTTTCAATTTACCTAATCCTTCCAGCCGCACTATGGCCCTGGGGTCGACATAAGTCCCTTGTACTGCGGCCAATTCTGGCCTGTTTTACCAGCCCCAGATGATAGGCGAGGGTGATTGTGGAGCAATTGGTGGAATGAAGATTGGCAGGGGAAACCGAAGTACTCGGAGAAAACCTGCCCCAGCGCCACATTGTCCACCACAAATCCCACTTGACCAGACTCGGGATCGAACTCCGGCCTCTTCGGTGGGAAGCCAGCGACTAACCGCTTGAGATATGGCGCGGCCTTCTAACAGAACTAAGTACAAGGAATCTTCCTGGGGGGTAAAGGGTGCCCGGCGCGTAAGGCTGACAACCTCACCGCCATCTGTGAGCCGATTGTCTAGCTAATCTTGGACCCTCAGCGTCACACAACCCTATGGGCCTCCATGACCTGTTACAGGGAAAGCGTATAGTTTCATATAAGGTATGGTGTAACCGCCTTGGTTTGTTCCGAGGTCCTTTTAAATCTATGACGAACATGTAATATAGATGAAATTGCAGTTAACGGTTATTGCGAAAGTTGTAGAGGCCTCGCCCTTTCCACCGTGGTTTTGTTGATACGTTCTTAACGGATATTACTGACAGGGAAGGATCTTTAGAATAAAACAGGATGAAATATTCTCCCAACACCTATATCTTTAATTAAAGAAAATTAAAGAACTCCATGAATTTCTCATCCCTGTCGAACGAATCTAGGACACAGTCACTTTCTCAGTTTGCACCACTTCTTTCCTGAAGATGAGGACAATAAGTTCCCCAGAACATTGATACCCACTACCAGACTCTACAGTGTCATAACCCAGGAGACCACAATGTAGATCTTAACAGAACAGCTTGTCAAGCGGCAAATTATAATATAGGCTTGTAGTTCCAGGATTCTTCACTGACATGTTCTAGTGGTACTCGAATTTAACATGGTCGCTGTTCATGATTTTGATAGAGTCTTATAGTAGTAGCGTAGTTGGTCGAGGCACTATGCTACAAGCCGAAAGATCGCGGGTTCGAGTCCCGGTGACATGGATTTTTTTTTCAATTGACCTAATCCTTCCAGCCGCACTATGATCCTGGGGTCGACTCAGCATCTAAGAGAAATGAGTACCAGGAATCTTCCTGGTGGGTAAAGGGCGGCCAGCGCGTAAGGCTAACAACCTTACCACCATCTGTTAGCCAATTGTCTAGATAATGTGGAACCCTCAACGTCTCACAACCCTATGGGCCTTCATGGCCTGTTACAGGGATAGCTATGGTTATGAATGAAGAATTACGAACTAGTGGCACGAGGTTTATGCGAAGTTTTATGGAAGTGGATCAGTTTAGCCTCTATTGCCAATTGGATGCGCAGACTGCGAACATGATTGGCCTAAATTCCCTTTTATATTAAGCTAAACACTGGAGCTAAATAAATTTATAGGCGTTATTTAAATCTGATTGCCTTACCAAGGAAGCTCTGGATGGGCTCGGAGACTTCAAAGTAGGAGGGCAAATTATTCAAACTGTGAAACTTGCAGATGACCTTGTGTTAATGGCTAAGGAAGAAACTGTGCTACAGGGCATGATTGATAGACTAATTGAAATTGGAAGGTGCTATGGCATGGAAATGAATGTGGAGAAAACAAAAGTAATGAAAATTTCGAGACAACCAACCCCAGTCACAATAAAGATAGACCAAAAACAACTGGAGAATGTNAGTGAGCAGAGGAATATCCTACACGAAATAAGAAAACGGAAGGCTAATTGGATTGGTCATGTTTTATGCAGAAACTGCCTTCTAAAGAAGTTATTGAAGGAAAGATAGAGGAGCGGATAGAAGTGACAAGAAGACGAGGAAGAAGACGTAAGAAGATGCTGGATGACCTTGGGGACAAAAGAGGTTGCTGTCATTTGAAGGAGAAAGCTCTAGATCGCAATAAGTGGAGGAATTGTTTTGGAAGAGACTGTGGACCTGTCGTCTGACAGATTACTGATGATGATGATGATTTAAATCTGTAGCAGAGATAAGTATACCTCGAGTTCTAGCAGGACTCTGTAAAACTCCCACCCCTCCTGATCTTACTGTCCACAGAGCGGAAGTTATCGCGTTGCCCATCCCAACGGGCAACCGTCTATTGACAATTCATGGTATTCGTTAAATTTCTATTGGCTGTTTCTAACACAATTGCTTCAACTATATAGATTAAAATCCTCTAGTGAGTTGGGAAGAAGATGTGAATGGTGAAGAGGTACGGATTTTAAAGGAGGTGATAGTGGTTTTTATAGAGTTACTATCCTGCCTTTCTTCGGAGAGACTGAGGAAAACCATTAAGTCAGAATAGCGCACGTGTGGACGAGATACGAACCCTTTCCCTCCAGAACAAAATACAGAGCATTACCCACACTGTCTCCGTGGTCTGTTTTTATAAGTCCTTTCCGCAAATATCTGGAAATTTGCAGGAAAGCTCTTTGGTGCCTCTGGTGGTCACGTTCGTGGAAGTTTACGACCGGTGTTATGTGTACCTCTTGTTTCGTCAAGCTTGTTACACCGGAGTTTCATCCCAGTTTTCTTGATTTGGTTACCTTACCAATGCCGGGTGAAAGTGCTAACAGTAAAGCTCTCCTTACATAATTGTTTCTATGTTATTGTTTCTCTTCGCATTATCGCTTACATGTCCACTCAAGTAATATGGTCATTCGTGGACTCACCAATGAGCCTCACACAAAAGAACAGTGACAGCTAATCGGTGAAGCAATTCTGGGTGTCTGAGAAAGTGGTTATGTATGATGTGAAGAGGGTTTGCGGATAAATATCCGCGTCTACCTTGAAGATAACTTCAAGAATTTTAAAAATATATTTCACAAACTTCGTGAATTATGTCTTCTTAGTCAGTAATGTGGCAGACTACGTGCCGAACAGCCGAGTTCAATTACATGAGACCTAGAGACTGTTATTTTTCGCACCACATATACTTATTCAATGGACACTGGAGAATCTATCCGCAGAGATTGAATGGCCGGAGCATAATGCTGATCACTCATCTCCATTTTCTGGACAGGTTTGCTCCAGGTCACCAATAGATTATGCATGGAGACGTACAGGGGTAACACTCCGCTACCTTTGTCTAGCATTAAGTTCTGCTGCATTCGTAATAAATCCTAGGGCCGCAAGATACTTCAACATGGCCCGCGAGCTAATCTCACGGAACAAAAATAAAGCATATAAACATTCACGTACAATAAGATAAGAAGCAGACGGTGACATATAAGCAAAGTGAATTTTATCACTGGTATGTTTCCATCCATACAATTAAATTTATATAGAACATATAGAAGGCATATAAAGATAAAAAAAAAGCAAAGCTGTCCCTGCGCTTAACTAATTTAGCACTATGCCATGAAGACGTACGAGAGAGTGGATGTATAAAAAAAATTAAATGTTTTTATTTTGCAACATCCTACGAATGTGCCATGTGACAAATTTTAGGCCTATATGGGAGAGTAATACCGAAAGCGAATTTAAAGACAAATGGGCAGATGTGAACTGGACCCAACTACTTGGGGGTAGGGCCCGATTTCAGATTTTTATGTACAGAGGGAAACGTTAACTTGTACGATCTGAGGGTCTCCTTGCCATTTGCTTGAAAGATGGTTTCTTGCTTGGCTTATTCTTCGACCTTGAAATTGGAGGCTACATGTTCCTCCGAAACGTCGGTTGACTTTCAATGGACTACACAGCGTTATATCTCAGACGATAGAATTCTTCAACCATTTTCTTGCTTTATAAGAGGAATTTCCTCAATTCGTTGGCCCATCAAACGTTGCACTCCCAAGTTAATGCTTATCGCGATGCAGGAAGTACCTCACAAGTGTCCTGTCACTAGAATCGAGGTAGATTAAGCTAGGAATATAACAAGGTTAAACAGTGTTTTGACCAAGTTCCAGTTCTTCAGT